AGACTTGTACATCCTGCCTGTTTTCAATATTGATGGGTATATCTATTCCTGGACCACAGTAAGTAAAGAAAACCCAAGAGCAGGAAAATCTGTCTGTTAATTGTGCAAGGATAAATCAAGAACTAGCAAAATGTTCATTTTATACTTCTGGAGGGCATAGTCAGCAGCAAAGTCTACATTTGCTGGTGAGTTTTTCTACATAGAGGCAGAATTGTCAAAGCCTCTCTCTTGCTGGAAGAGAATGATAACTGTTACACATAACCACTCATCCATGGGACAAAGGTACCACCACCTCAGGAAATCAGCACTTCTTTGAGCTCAGAGGGTGTATCTCTGGGGTTATACTGAGACTGGGTTATCTAGATTAATTAGTTCCACAATAAAGTGTCATCATCTACACATGTATTAGGGTGCAGTAAACTAATTAACTCTGCCATAAGATAGTACTGCCAGAGCACAGTACTTACCTGTGCTGAAATAGATGTGTAGACAATGACAGCAGCTGGTTGGGGCACAAGGGAGCTAAAGTGTGGGGGACTGTCTGCTGCCTAGACCCACACTATAGCACCCTCATGCCACAGCCAGCCCCTCCACCACCCAACATCATCACCTGGAGCCTGGGGCTGGCCTGCCTAGACCCCCTGCCAGCCCAGAGCTGCTTTGCCCTGGCTTGAAGTGCTATGGTCTCAGGCGCATGTGTAGACACTGCACCTGGGAGCAGTTGAGTCCAGCATGAACTGTCATAGAGTTTATTGCTCTGCCTTAATTGCATGTGTAGATACACCCAGAGGGATGCAGATCAACAGTAAAGGCACTAGCTTCAAGGATCCAGAATCCATTTTTTCCTGTTGTCTGGGAATGACTACAATACTTTGAAATGTAGAATGCAGTACTACACATTCCCCACAGAGAAGCAAAAGCACGTCACTGGACACCTGAGCAGGAAGGGTGTCTTTTAAGGACAGTAGATAATTACTGGACTCCTCAATTATATGTATCTTCCCAAATATATCTCCCAAATGCAAATCCTCTTATACCCATTTCTTTTCTGGGTATTTTGGGTAATGTGGCGAATTAAAAGGGATGTGTCCAGTAGCTCCCTTTTTTGAATCAAGTGAAACCCCTTCTGAATTCTTATTTAACTCAGGACCTTAACAGGGCCCTGTAGGCTCATCTGCCCCAGTCTATATCCTGTCTGTCTCCTTGTTGAGTTGAATCTGTCTTTCATCATGGAGCTTTCCAAAATCAGACATTGCAACATCAGCATTTGGAGAGCTCCACTCTCTGCACTCTGTTGTGCAGGTGGCTCTCTGGAGAAGCATGCACAGACTGTGCATAGTGTGCGCTGGACCTCAGTGACTAAGCTTGGGCAGGGGGTATAATGTCAGGGGAGGCAAGGAACTGGGGAGTGATAGGAGCATTGACTGGCAACCCCCCCTCGACCTTTCTTTTATTGTATCCCTGACAAAACCTGGGTCTCAATAGAATCAATCTTGGACAATAAAACACCTCCTGTAATCTGGCATTTGCTTTGGAACAGGGTCACCTGCCCTGCTGCAGGGGAATGGCAGGGGAAGTTGCTGTACCACAGTTCACTTGTCTCCTATTGTACTGTGTATAAAAGTTCCCAACTTGAAAAGAGAGGTAAAGCACGTTCCCTAGCCACTCTTTAGAAATGCATCACGCACAGCAGTTAGATTGAATGGAGGTGTTATTCGGAATGGCAGGATTTAAGTGCTAGGGGTTTATATAGGATGTTGCTTTGATCGTTATTCTCTTGTTTCAGTTATGTTATAACACAATGATGCAATTTCTGTTCAGGCACGTCTCTGGAGGAAATCCCGTTCTTCCTATATGAATGGCACCTGCTTTGGGACAGACCTTAATCGTAACTTTAATTCCTCCTGGGGTGGTAAGTTTTAAGTCCTTGAGATTTGATACAGGACTAGACAGAAAAATATACGAAGGGGGAGGTGGAACAGCCTCTGAGCTATGTATATCTCTTACTCTAAAAGAGTAAAGAGTTGTAAGATAGAAAATGCACATTTTTGGTTCCATCAAGAGAGACTTATAAGTAGAAGCTAACTTGTAAAAATATCTAAGTCCTGATTTTCAATTTGGCCCCAACATAGCGTCTGATTTTGCAGGCAGAATTTTGCTTCTTAAATAACCCTGCCTCCAATCTACTGCAGGTACAATCATTAGTTCTAGGCAGAAATCTCCTTAGACTGCAGTATTTGTGCTGCTGAGAATTACAGGTGCAAATATGCAAGGGCAGTTATTTGTAAGTGTAAAATTGCTCATGTACCTCTGAAAAACAGGGCCTACCCTCAGCTGATTCCCTTTTATATATTTTACTTCCCCCACTACTTCTCTCTTACTTCAGGGGATGTCCTCACTAGTGCTGTACCATATTCTCTTGGCGGAAGGCTGGGCTCCAGTATAAATTCCACAAGAGCCCTGATTTTTTCTGAAATGGAGGGTAGGAAAAAATATCTGAAAAGTGGAAATGATTCTCCTTTTGGTTCCTTTGGTTAATCCAAGGTTTAAAAATAATTAATTTCACTCTCATTATATTATTGGGATATCTGTTTAGTGAAGATAGAGTAATATTTTCCCCGTGGAACCTTCGTCTTGCGGCCAACTTTTCCAAAAATCAAACAATTTCAGCCTAAAACCCAAATGGTTGAATTCAGTTATGCTACTGTGGAGCCACTTGGAAGTTATGGTTTGGGTGACTCATGCCTGCATTCTTCTCTGTGGGACAGGCTTCTAGGTCAGACTACAATTTTCAGTGATTCCTCATGGTTTCCTTTCCTGACTAGTAGAAGTGAAGCATTATGTCCCATGAGTAGTCTGCAGCCTGTAGTCTGATTATGGAAGAGACTGGAGACCTGAGACAGCCCAAATGTAACTTGACTGCTCAGTGTTAACCTGAAGACACCACTTCTCCGAGGTACAGAGTTCCTCGCCCTCTTGTGCAGATTTTGGAAGGGTGACAGTTTTGGAGGTGTGTAAAAATGACAGCAGTGTTTTTGTGACATAGGCAGTTCAGCACTTGGAGCAGGTTTATGGCCCCCAAACACTTTCACATCAACCTAGCATCTGCTTTTAATCCTTACTTACGTTGGAGTTAGAAGTTAACAGATCAGTATTCTTATGTGAACCACATAGTTCCCCATTCTCAGACTCTCATATAAATGTCACCGTTCTCTCAAAATACATATTTATTTTGGTTTGCCTCTGATTTCCTGTACAGGTGGTGGTACATCCCATAACTGTTCCAGTTCAACTTTTTGTGGGCCTGAGGCAGAATCAGAACCTAAAACTAAAGCTGTGGCTAGATTGATTGAAAGCAGGAAAAGTGATATTTTGTGCTTCTTGACTATTCATTCTTTTGGACAGCTCATTCTCTCCCCATATGGATACACAAAGGAACATGCAAGTAACCATCAGGAACTGGTAAGGCCACAGTTCCATAATGTATGTTGGAGTCAAGTATTACATTTTCATTAGCTCTTGCATCCTGATCACCTCCCTGATGATTATAATGTGTCTGTTTAATAACGCCCATTATCTTCGTTGCCTCTTCTTAATACTGACAGTAGCAAACAAAGTACTTGTTGGTTTTGATATGGCATTTCTCTGAAGGGAGAAATGATATATCAAGATACGAAATCAATAGTTTTTCTTTAAAGAAAACACTACAACTTCCTGAGGGGAGGGTGAACTTGTGAAGCATGTACGTTCTTCAGTTATGAATTTAGAGCTACGTTCTCTTTCCCTATCCTATTCATGTATCCATGTGTTATAGGAGAAGGTTTCTTTGCCTATGTACTGCAACAATTAATCCTGATTCTTCACCTTAGATGATTATTCATGGATTATGAGTGATATGAGCATTGTAGAAATTCTTTTCTCAAAATTTTGAAATCTAGTGCCCTACACAAAAACAAGCCTGTACTTAGTTGTACAGATATGTTTTCTATCCACAAAAGACTAGTTCAGTCCTCTGAACTCACGTTGGTAAGAGATACAACACAGATTCTCATTCTTCAGATGTGCAGCTAATCTAGTGGATTTGCTGACTATTAGCAGGGCAGTTTTTTAAGTTTGCAATTTTTCTACATCATTTTAAAAAAAAACAACCCACACATTTTCACCCAAAAAGAATGTGTGTAAAATTTTCCAAAGGTTTTGGAAGTTGTTCCCTACCAGCTTGAGTGTTGAACTAAAAACTGTTGCCAAAATCAGTGATATAGAAATGTAGCCTGAAACAGATAAGAATGCTGAGCCACTCAGAATAGGTCATGCATTTACCAGATAACAACACGTTTATTTTCATTTCAAATTCATAGGTGGATGTTGCACAGAAAGCAGCAACTGTACTGAAGGGAAAACATGGGACCAATTTCACAGTGGGGCCAGCCTCTTCGGTTTTATGAAAGTTTGTGTTTTTTTTCCTATTTGCTCTGTTGTCACAGAGGAATAAGGAGCATCTTGATTCTCTAATGCTGTTTCACTGAGTTGCCACTTAGAATAGTAAGGGATAAGCAGGTTCATATACTGATCACTTGAATATGTGATGATTTTGTATGTTAAATAGCTGACCACATGAAGGCAGTATCAGTCAGTTGCTGGTTCTTAAAAAGAATGGCTTATTTGAATAATCAGAAGTCCCAGAAATGGGTTAATCATTTTATTCCTACTAAAGTCTTTGGAAAAATGTCCACTGATATGAAAGAAGCCAGGATTTCAGCCCATCTGCTAGAGGTTCAAATCCAAATCAAGTCTATAGTGACAATCAGACTTTATCATCTGATGACAGCTTGCTGTTCAGTGTGAAATAAGCTGGTTTCAGTCTGGGGCCCACTAGACTGAAGACCACATCATAGAAACCATTATCACAGATGATATTAGCTGGCACTCTTATTGATGCTTTCTGCTGGAGTATGGAAAAATCATGGAGAACTATCTTCCTTTACCCATAAAAGCTTTTCTCTTGTCCAGATAAGAATGAATCATGTTGGATAGATGGAGCAGAAGAATTTTTTGTATATATTTTTTATTTCCAAGATATGCATGTCCAGTGCCTGGGTTGGTCAGTCCCTTAGTTGCATGTACTTAATGCATCTCTGAGTTGACACACAAGGCATTTTGCTCATGTAGGCATGGCATGATTAGAAATGATCATCCACTTTTAAGAAGCTGGGCCCATATTTGTAGATACTTTAAAACTGTAAAGAGACAGAACTGCAAGGCAGAGAAATGATATGGTCTGGACACAGGTTACAGTTGGGAAGTTTTCAGATTTGGAGTAAAACCTAGTAAAGCAGAAAATTTAATATCAGAACAGACAAATAATCCATCCACCTTGCCCTATATCTTGTCTACAAGAGCAGCCAGGTCAAAATGCTTCAGTCAGTCATTGGATAATGCTATCTTATAGCAACATAGTCCTCCTGGGCCATCCTGCTCAGTCCCCTGCATTTGCAGGCAACCATTTACCTAAGGATTCCCCCAGATCACAATTTCAGACCCTCATGCACAACTCCAGGGCAAAACAACAGAAATACTAAGAACACCCTGCAGAAAACCATGGGCAAAGGCCAGAAGGGAGCAATTTTGCTTATGAAAGGGCTATGTAAAGATTTTAATGCAGTCAAGAACTCCAGAACCTAGGTCCATTTCCCATTGTGAAGCACTGTTGTGTCTGCTTTGATGACACACTATGCTGCTTGGTTCAGGGATCTTGTAGTGATCTTGCATAAATTATAGCAAGAGAAATTTCTAACAAAAAAGTGCCTAATACACTCACCTCACCTCTGTTTTTGACTTCATAGACCAGAACTCTGGCTCCTCACGAGACTGGGCTCACATGATTGGCATTCCGTTCTCTTATACGTTGGAGCTGAGAGACAGAGGTGCGCATGCATTTTTTTTACCAGTAGACCAAATCCAACCCACATGTGAGGAGACTACTGTGGCTGTGATGACCATCATTGAATATGTAAATCAGAAGTATTTCCCAAATGGGGCAAAACTGACCTCTGGAAATCTGTGTCTGAACCTCTTGCTTAGTGTTCTGTTCATGGGGGCATTGTCTTAAGTATACCCTTATAGACTGCAACAGGAAACGCCCATGCAGTGTGTAATATCAGTTCAAAGGGAAACACTGATAATACTTGGAGATCTGAATGCCATAACATTTAAATAAAGGATCATTACAGTACTTGCAAGGCTTTCTCCAGTGTTTTTAAAGGGGGAATAGGGGATGATCTGCCACCTAACAAAATCAGTCCCTTCTCAAGACCTGTGGTGGTGGGTGGTTGGTTCCATTCCTTTGATTCCTTAAAACAGGGGTGTCAGACATGCAGCCTGCAGAGCCCAAAAATCCAGCCCCTGGTGCTACTGTCTTTCTTGCACCAAACTGACCCCCCCCTCATGCAGTGCCTGGGATGTGTGCCACCTATAGTGCTCACTTGGGTGAGGTCCCAGGTGTGCCACTCACTGGGGCCAGTCCAAGGTTAGGTTGCCTATGCTGCTCACTGCTGGCCCTTGGCTGTGCCACCCATGCCTCAGTGAGCAGTGCAGGCAGCACAGCCTGGGATGTGGCTCCAGTGGGCAGAATGGGTGGCACAGTCTGGGACCAGCAGCAAGTGGAGCAACCTGCTGTGACCAGGCCCCAGGCTGCACCACCCGTGGGGGCCAGTCCAGTCCCAAGTAGCACTGCCTGTACAACCCACTGGGGCTGGGTCCTGGGCCATGCTGCCCACACCTCAGTGGGTGGTGCAGTCCAGGACACTACCCCAGCAGGGCAGCTCACCCAGGCCACATCCCAGGCTATGTTGCCCCCTGGGTCACAGAGCCAGAGGCATGGCTGACTGATGCCTCTTGAGTCGGGGGGGGGGGGGAGGGGCCCCCTCCCCCCCCCGACACCCGTCACTGACTTGGGGGGGCCCCCCCAAAGCAGGTAATGGGTGGGGGGGGGGGGGGGCCCCCTCCCCCCCCCGACACCCGTCACTGACTTGGGGGGGCCCCCCCAAAGCAGGTAATGGGTGGGGGGGGGGGGGGGCCCCCTCCCCCCCCCGACACCAGTCACTGACTTGGGGGGTCCCCAGCAGCTGATCGTGCTGATCGGGCGGGGGGGCTCTGCTCTCCAGCTGGTGCTTGCAGGGGGGGTACTGGTGTTCCTGCCTGCCCCCTGCCCTCCATCTAAACAGGGAGTGCAGACTGACAATGGGTGCACTGGTGCTCTCAGGGGGTGCACATGCACCCCCGTGCACTCCCTACATGTCAGCACTAACCAGAGGAGTTTGACAACTCTGGTTTAAGCCAAGCCTATGTTATTTTTGGAAGTCTTGCTTCCTGTCTGAAAGATACAAGGAGAAAGCTGCACTTCTCCCCCACCCCACAATGGTGCAGTTGATGAGGACTGCAAAACCTTTTGCCAGGCACTGCCCTACTTTTTTCACAGCCTCCAACTGATCAGCATGAAAACCTGACTTCCCATCCATTGCTGGCACCAGCAGGATATGCAAGACATAGATCTCTGGCTGTTCTCCCTGTTTCCACTTCTGAAATATGTGCAGTTTCTTTGATTGCTGACCTCCATGGGGTATGAAAGGGACCAGAAGCTGTGGGCTATCCTAATCTGGTAACAAATCAAGGATGGTTGAAAGCAAGCATAAAGGTGATGTAGGTATATGGTGGGAGAGACTTGGTCCTGTCATTCTTTTACAGGCAAGTAACCAAATATGTAAAGGGAGAAATTCAGCTGACTAAATACACAAGTACAAGAGTGAAAAGAAAAAAATGAGGGGCTGTTCCTATCTCCACAAGCCAGACTAGAGTGAGAAATTTCTTCCATTATCAACCAGCAGAGCTATTTTCTCTCTATCAATGACTAGTGAGCTGAAAATATTCCCTGGTAGATTAAATTGTAAAAAAAGCATAGTATTTAACGCATGGGTTTACTCTGTACATAGGCTTTCTTCAAAAAGGCTTCCATCTTTGACTCTTGAAGCTAAACCTTCAAAGTGTTTTAGGTCTTTCAAGGCTTAACTCAGAGGCACCCTACAACACAGTAGAATCATCAGTCCTGAGGTTGGCATCTAGGATCCCCATACAGATGCATGCACGCCTAAAAATTGGCACCTAAGGACTGAAAAGAGCCAGCATAGTGAGAGCTGGCGTGAAGAATACAAGGTAGCCAGTAGCAAATGCTGAAGAAGAAGGGAGAGGTTGAACGGGACCTTCAACCCCCTGCTCAAAGCAGGACCATTCCCAACTATATTATCCCAGCCAAGGCTTTGTCTACCCAGGTCTGAAAAACCACCAAGAACGGAGATTCCACAACCTCTCTGGGTAGCATATTCCAGTACTTCACTACCCTCCTAGTGAGAGAGGTTTTTCCTAATATCTATCCTAAACTTCCCTTGCTGTAACTTGAGACCATTGCTCTTGTTCTGTCACCTGCCACCACTGAGAACAGTCCAGCTCCATCTTCTTTGGAACCAGCCTTCAGGTAGTTAAAGGTTGTTATCATATCCCCCCTCAGTCTTTTCTCCTGCAGACTAAATAAGCCCAGTTTCCTCAGCCTCTCCTCAGTCATGTGCCCCAGCCCCCTAACCATTTTTGTTGCACTCAGCTGGACTCTGTCTAATTTGTCCACATCCTTTCTATAGTGAGTAGCCCAAAGCTGGACACAGTACTCCAGATGTGGCCTCACCAGTGCTAAATAGAGGGGAAGAATCACTTCCTTTAAGTCCTGCAGGGAAGACAGGTGGGAAATATCTCACTTGTGGTCCCTATCAAAGTTTAGGCATGACAGAAGGTGCTGAGGATCCTGGTGGTGTTAGCACTTAATTTTTATGTACCCACTGACAAAAATTTGAGCATCCAGGGAAACTGGGAGGTCTCTAGGGCCAGGGAGCAGTCAGGTGAAGGTTTTGATAATCAGTGACACTTGAATATTGGACTTAGGCTTTACACTTAGGCCATGCTAATTCTCTATCAAACATTTTCAGCTAACAAGTATAAGGACCAGATTCTCACTGTGCATAAATCAACAGAGCTCCATTGATTTCTGTCAGTTTGACAAGCTCACCCTAGGTTTTGAAGCTGGTCTGTGTTCTTCCAGACTCATCACTAATAACAAAGTTCATGCAGTTGAACAATTCTGTTGATGACATGCAAACCAGGAGTGAATCTTGCTCATCCTCTTCAAGGTGACTGAAAAACTTATCTTCATCACTTAAGCCGGAAGATCCAAATGTTTGTAATAACCAGAAGTCCCATTGTGAGCAAAGTACAGCTAGCTTTACATTTTTTGGTCAAAATTGTTTTTGACAGAACAAATCAAAATATTTTGCATAAAGTGTTTGATTTCCTTTGGAAAAAATGAGTTTTTGTTCAACATGGAAAACCTTTGGGCTAAAAACTGAAAACTTTAAATTTTTGGCGAAAAAAATGGAGGGTGACCCCATTTTCACTCCTATTTTATAGCTAGGTGCTGTGGAAATGCATAGCGAAAGACAATTTCTACCTACAAAGTTTACAGTGGATACAGACCAAGGATAGGAAAATGGAAATATTGTCTCCATTTTACAGGTGGAGAATTGACGGACAAGAATTAAATAATTTGGTTACGGTCTTCCAAGAAAGCTGTTACAGAACCTGGTGGGGAGGGTGAGCAGCAACTGGCCGCAGGTTTTGGTGGTGCTTTTTTCAGGGGATGCTCTGCCAATCTCAGCGGGTGCATGTGCACCCCCTATGCATCGCCAATGGGCACATGTTTCCACGTGGGGTGGGTGGTTCTGGATTCTTGATTTGGTTTGCCACGCACTGTCTGGCCCTCTTGTTTTTCTGTCTCCTGTTGTCTTAAGGTTTCAAAGTACTGAGATCCTTGCAACAGACTCTGCCTCCTGCTTGGGGTGCTCCTGGGTGATAGTCCCATGAGTTGATGTTGATGTTACATTTTTTCAAGTTTGCCCTGACAACCTCTTTGAAGCACTTTCTCTGCCCTCCACTTGAGCATATGCCTCAACTGAGCTGGGAGAATAAAGCTTACTTTGGGAGTCTGGAGTCAGGCATCCAGATGATGTGGCCATCCCAGTGAATTTGATGTCAGATGATGATTGCCTCGATGCTCATGGTGTTTGCTTGTGAGGTGATGCTAATGTTGGTGCATCTGTCTTCCCACTGGATTTGAAGGATCTTCTGCAGGCAGCATTGGTGGTACTTCTCTAGTGACTTGAGGTATCTCCTGTATGTTGTCCATATCTCGGCTTCATACAGTAAAGTGGGGATCATGACTGCTTGATAAACCATGAGCTTGCTTTCAGATCTGATGTTGCAATCTTTGAACACTTGATCAAGGAAAGGGGAGCCATAAATGCCTGTTGGAAGAAGCATTTTGAAGACCTTCTCAACTGAGACTCTGTTGCTGATGAGAGTGCCCTCTACTCCATCTGACAACATTCAGTCAGTCAGAGATAGTCTCAGAATCCCTCCAAACCTTGATGAGATGAGGAAAGCCAGCAAGCAGATGAGAAATGACAAGGCATCTGGAGCTGATAGAATCCCCATTGAGATCTTCAAGCAGGGCAGGAGAGGAGCTCACATCACAGCTCCGTGCCCTCATCTTAAGGATATGGAATGATGAGGAAATCCCAGATGATCTAAGGGATCCCATGGTTGTGACAATCTTCAAGAAGGGGGACACATCTGACTGGAAACTGCAGAGGGATCACCTTACTGTCCACCGTAGGAAAGATCATAGTGAGAACCCTCCTGAACTGTCCCTTTCCACTTGCTGAAGAACTCCTTCTGGAAGCTCAGTGTGGGTTTAGGGCATCAAAAGGCACAACTGATAAGATCTTCACTGCTCGCCAGCTGCAGAAAAATGCTGGGAACAACATAAATCTCTCTACGTAGCCTTCTTTGACCTCATGAAAGCCTTTGATTCTGTCAACAGAGAAGCACTGTGGAGGATCCTTCTGAAGTATGGATGCCCACCAAAATTCCTCACCATTCTCTGCCTCACACACAGCTCCATGATGTTATGAGAGTGGTAATTCTCAGTAATGGATCTATCACAGACCCCGTTGCAGTTAAGACAGGAGTTAAGCAAGGCTGCATCATCGCTCCAACACTCTTCCCGATACTTCTTACTGAGATGCTACATCTAACTACCAACAAGCTTCCAGTCAGAGTGAAGCTA